GTGGGAGGGAGGTTTTTATTTTTGAGCTTTTATTTTGTCAAAGGATCGCTACTGGACTAAATGACTTCTAACAAACATCACATTTCCAGGCACAACCAACAGTTATCTCATCATGTTGTTTATAGGAATGTATGATTGTCCAGTATCATTTATGATTGTCAGTAACATTCATCAGGGTTGTGAGCCTATGCCACATTTCTAGATTCATTCATTTGTTTTAATAGATCTACTTCCTGTGACTGGGCTATAACATTTAAGTGCAGTAATCAATGAGACTGTTTTTATTTGTTATTAATATTAAAAAAGAACAGGTTATGCAGTCCTATTTAATTGAAGCTGGATTATCTGAGAATCAGACTATTTTTGTTATATCGCCTAATTAACAAGTGTGATACTTTAAATAAATTACCAGAACTGTTTGTCCATCTTGTATCTTGGCCCTGTCACAGTACATAGATAGTGACAGATCTTCCGCTAAAAAAACATAACACAGAAATAATTATATTTAACTTGCTTTTGACTATTTATGCCCATGTTCATTAGCCCAGTCGGAGCAGAACACTAGGATGTTAAACCCCATTTCACTACATTTATTAGAAATTTCAGCCATATTACCAGTCTTAAAGTTCATTTGGAGTTTCCGGCGTGGTTCACCCTTGTCAGTGGCACAGGGGACCTGACAGCTGTCTCATCGTTTTGATGGGAGAGAAAACTGAGGTCCCAGGTACACATTGGCGTGCACGTAAAAGAACCCTGACAGATGCACATCATCATTAGCCCAGTCAGAGCAAAAAAGTAGGATGCTAAACACCATTTCATTTCATTTATAAAATATATAAAAACAAATTGGGATGAGTTAAACAAAATTCATCAATAGGCAAAATTTTAAAGTGAAACCATATGGCATGAAACATTATACTGCATTTACCTTGATCAAGATCTTTAACACCATCAGGGAAATAACATCCACTGTATTTTAATCTTTTACCCAGAGACTGAAATATAATAAAAGGGAATTGGGTTTAACATCTTATCAACACAATATTAAAAGAAATGAAATAAAATGATAGGGTTTAAAGTCCAACTGTTCTGCTCTGACTGGGCTTATGGAGGGAAATTTTGAATAGACAACGGCACTACGGCCTATTTTTATATCTTTTAAGAGCATTCGTCCGATTCGAATGGCTAGACAAATTCCAAGTGTTAAAGCCTTTTAACAATGTGTACACAGCTGGAATTCGATTTTGCATCCCATGCAAACCACTAGACAGCACCCCCTAACAATTGAAATCCAGGTTGGAATAATCCTGATGGTTCTTTGAACCCTTCGACAGTCATCTAGTTGCCACCTTCTACGTAGGGGGGGGGGGGGGGGTCGAATGGTTTAACACATGCGCGTATGATTATAAGGTCTGACAGAAACCCTTTTCTTGAGGGGGGGGGGGGGCGGGGCCAATAATTATATATAAAAAAAAAAATTCTACGTCAGTGAGAAATATGTACCATATTTAATTTTTCCTACATCGGCACAGCGAGTATTCATGCTGCAGAGCCCCAGAATTCGATGTCCAATCCCCTACTCTCTCAGGGGTAAAGTCAGAAACCCTATTTTTCTTGCTCAGGGACATAAAAATCTTCTGGGCTGCCCTGGTATAGCTTCTGATACTTACAGTCAGATAAAATTCAGTTGGTACTTCATAATGTTGTTCATTGGCTTTATCTGTATCGATGGCTATTGGGGAGGTTTTTAATCGATGTATAAATTTCTTCTTGTAATAATTCTGTTTTTCTAAATCTCCACCACATTCTAATTTTTCTATCCAGGCAGATAAATTCTGACGAACCCCTAAAAAAAAGATAAAAAGTTAACATTTCATTAAATCTGAACTGAAGGCCTAGAAATAAAAACACATGTCGGCAGGCAACAAAACAAAACATACTCCCACAGCTGCAAAATTGTCTGGGCAGCCAAAAAGGGTTGTCTCATATTTATTTTTCGTAAATATCAATTTATTTAATACATTACAGATTGGATGACAACCGCATCATAAGGATGATAAGGGTTCTTTCCTTGCACGCTAAGTTGAACAAGGGAGTATGGGACCTTTTCAACAGGACTGAACCTGTGTGACGATCCTGGTTAGTGAGCCATTATAATTTCCTGCCGTATGTCCGTCTTCATGGTACACTAAACTTGGATGTTAAACATGTTGGCTAACCTACCCTGTTGCCTTTCTTTCATTCACGCCTCAGCTCATTCATTCAATTATTTACTTGCATTTCAACATCAAATAACGCCTGCGGCTGCATTGCGAACATACAATTAATATGAATTAACATTGTGCAGTAAATACCTTCTCTCAAGACTTCATCAGATGCCATCTTCATCTTGACTAATCCTTCACAATGGTGTCTGGAAAATAAAGTTATATAACTTGAAAACAAGTCAACAGCTAGGATACTGCAATTACCCCTAAGTACCACTAGAATTTCCAGTCAACAAACTCGGTTTTTTGTTTATCTGACAGTTAAGTCACAACTTTATTGAGATTTTCCTTCCAATATCAATCCCCTAAACAACGTGTTGACCTCTCTTTGCGAGTAAGGTCGTCGTCTAGGGTTAAGGGTCAACGACTGACGTCATCAACTGAAAACAATGGCCGTACTAATATAAACAATATACAGGTCACAATTCTATGGAATACAATTACTGCTTATTACTCTAGTTCAATTACTAAATGCCATTGAAACAGTTTAATATAAACAACTTGAATTAAGTCTGTGTCCGATGCATAAAACTGATGACAGCATAGTATCTAGTCGCTTCGGAATAAAAACAACCGTGTGGAGGGATTTATAGAGGAGTAGGCTACATGTTGTTATCTTAGTTACTGCCACCACTGCTTAATAAAGTCAAGCTTTACGTTTCTCCTCGTCATATTGAGCGACTGGATTATTCGACTGGATTATTCGACTGAATTATCTGCTTGATTTTTTTTTCGACCGGATTATTTGACTGTTTTTTCGGCTATCCCCGGCCCTAAATACCTAATTATCAGACTACGTTTGCCCCATAAATCGAACTTGAAACTATTTGGCTGGGGAGGGAGGTGCAAGCCCCCGGCTCTTTTACAGCTATTGCTAATTATAATGCAATGGATATGACTGAACTACTCGGTATTATCTTAGTTCACTGCAATTCCTGCTTATTATTGAGCGACTATTTTTAAATTTTAACTTCTCATCATATAACTGTCAAAAGCACATTTTGTCATCTTGATCTGGTACGAAGACCCAACTTGATCTGGGATGTGGATTTATCGACAGTGATATTCGACTGGTTTTATTGACTGAGATATTCGACTTGTTTTATTGACTGTGATATTCGAGTCCACAAGAAAATAGTTTTATTGACTGGGATATTTGACTTTTTTCGACGATAATCAGTCAAATAATTCAATTGACAGAACCAGTCGAATAATTCAGTCAACAAAACCAGTCAAATAATCCAGTTGAAAAAAAAACAGTCAAATAATCTAGTCAACAAAACCAGTTGAATAATCCTGGCGAAAAAACAGTAAAATATCCCAGTCGATAAAACCAGTCGCTCAATATTAAGTACCGGTGGCAGTGAGCTAAGGTAATATAGAATAGCCCAATCATGATCGTAGCCAGGGGCTTCACCCCCCGCCCCTCCCAACTACTTTAAAGTCAGATTTTTTTTTCAGGCAAAAGTAGTCTTATGATCTAGGTATTTAGTTGATACATGTACTTAACTGGAGAGTCATGTTTTTGGCCCGTCATCTAAGTGAATAGAATCCTACATAGGGGTCTTTAGCAGTGGGAGGAAACCGGAGGACCCAGAGAAAACCCACGAGGTTGGACAATCGACCTTACTCCTTGTCACGTACAACCGGGGATTCGAAACCACGCCAGTCGACTCAATGACATACTTTATGGTACAGCGCGCACGCTAACCATTCAGCCATCCACCCCCCACCCCCCAACCCATCAAAATACTTGTCCCTTGCCAGGCCTTCGGTTTTGCACCACTGAAAAGGAGGAACCACGTCGGTAAATCCCTATGGGCTTTCTCAGCCAACGCAGGGATCGAACACGGGACATTCGGATTAGCGAGCCAACGTCTTACTCACTGAGCCATCGTGCCACCCCCACCCCACCCCCACCTTACTTCAGACCCCACTCGCTTTCTTGTTGATTGAGATTATACAAATATACCTGGAAATTAGGCGTGGTTTGCTGTCGTCCAGAGCAACTCGACTAGCGCCGTTAGCAAACAACAACGTTTCCCTATCAGCTCCAAAGACATTAGTAAGCAGGTAAATATCGAATAAGGCGCTTCGAATTCGTTACCAAACTTAAAACGACTCGGACCTCCATCTTGCTTCATTGATAAGAGTGAAAACGGGCACGAAAATCCAAAGGGACTTTCTCGGCCAACCCTGGATTGAACCTGGCCACCCAGTTTATAAAATTAAATGTTACCATATATTATTATGTCTACCCTAGGTAATTTCTATACGACATGGCTAGTCTTCTGTTTACTTAAAGGCTCAATACCACTCTTGTTGTAACTGAATTATATGTCCCAATCTTTATTCTGGTCAACAATTTGTACTATTTTAGAATATTTCAATTAATTGATGATACAAATTTCATCTTAACACACTTTATTTAAAAATTTTGAAAAATTCAACACAATGGTTTGAAACGTCTAACGTAAAGCTTTTCAAATGAAACTTTGATTTAAAAATATTTTCGAACCCTCTGGACAAGTAAAATAGGATGTAATGGATAATTTACACAACAGGTAGGACACTTAAACATCTATTACTTAGATAGAGATATTATTTATTTTCTGGAGCTTTAAAGCCAGCAAGAGTGTTATTGTCCCTTTAAGTCTATACACGTGGAATTCAACGAACAATCTCAGTCATTATATTTCAATTGTTGCACTAAACATATTATTTTTTCAGGTATTTTTACCAACAGATCATCCTAATACGTGGATTTTAGCTAAAATGTGGTATAATAATGCTGATGCCGCTTACCATCAATCACTAACACATCTTGGTAAGTAACCATAGTAACATATCTTGGTAAGTAACCTTAGTAACACATCTTGGTAATTACCCCTAGTAAGACATCTTCGGTAAGTAACTCTAGTAAAACATCTTGGTAAGTAACCATAGTAACACATACCATCAATCACTAACACATCTTGGTAAGTAACCATAAGTAACACATCTTGGTAAATAACCATAGTAACACATCTTAGTATGTAATCATAGTACTTGGTAAGTAATAATAATAACATTATCTTGGTAATCAACATATTATGGGTTATTGTTAAAGGCTTTATAAATGCAAACAATGCAATTATATCAATTAAAAGGAGAAGTCAAGCATTGTTAGATTCTTTGTATATTATTCGTTAGCTAGTCTTAAGGGTGCCTTATGTAAGACTTAGATAAAGAGCTGATAGAATAGTGAATAAATAGAAAACAAAAAAGTAATATAATATGTTGAAATTTTCAGTCAAATTATTTCATTCTGATCGGAGGTATGGTCGATTGCAAAACAGTGTAGTCACGATTGTCACAGCTACCGTTGTTACGATGATAAATATCCATTTTCAAATTAAATCATTAACTGCCAATCGTATTTAAATCCGTTGAAAATCTACAGCATCGAGAGTTGATTATGGTTTTGGCAAGTCTAATTAATAATTTATTAAAGAAAGGCATGCAAAAGGCAGATTTAGTTTTTGAATAATGTATCTTTAAAGTAGTTTAATTAACAAATTAACACGCCACATTGACGTTGTGATGGTAACTGTCGGTCATTGTTTATAAACAAGACTGTACGCGTGCTACGGTAGCGCCTCTTCGTTTACCGTTACATGTGTCTGAATGTGAATTTATTGGTAGAGCCTGCACGTGTGTTGGTTGCATTGTTTACACTAGACGACAGTTCCCCTCACAAGGTGTGGTATATTGTGTATTATAGACCAAATACGCCAGGTTCATTATGGTTGTAACTACTTGAATACTTTTTGTATTGTTTTTGTTCAAGAGTCAACGGTAATGGTTGCATTTTCTCAAACAGGGCTTACACATCTTTTTGTACCATGATATATAATGTGAGTCAGTGTCTGTAATGACTAGAATAATATGTAATAGTTCCATTTATTTTACAGGACTTACGCATCTTTTAATGGAGGGAGTAACCGTAGCAACACATCGCAATCTTTCACAGTCACATCCTGCTTTCAAGCTTTTAGCTCCACATTTTCTGTATTTGATAGCTATCAATACGTAAGTCACTTTCCCTTGACTGGGTTATAGCTACGAAACCAAAAAAAAGTTACTTTTCATGTTGTTGGTTTTTTTTGGGTTTTTTTTTGTTCTTATGTAAGACTGTAGTAAGTTTTTCACATAGTTGTGTTTTATGCAAACCATTCGTGCCTCTTCTATGAGTCACCCACCAGCGTCCACATTACGAGGTTGAAATATAGTTCTGCAATGTCTGAAATTAAACTTTATTTTATATTTACGACATTCTTTCTTATTTTTTGTTATTGTAGACGAGGTTTAGAGGTGTTGATATCAGAAGGTGGTTGGGTAGATAAAGTTATGAACACTGGTATCAAGGGAATGTTTGAATTAATAAAAAGAGGGTAAGTTTGGTGTATTTTATGTCAGTAATCCGCACGGGCTAGGGCAGCAGTGGAAAGGCAGTACTACTGCTTGTGACGTCGGATTGAACAACGAACTTCCGTCTACCATCATACGATTTAAAGTACACGCGTTGAATCACTTCGACCAACATCTCTGTTATGAACTTAAAATACAACGTGTCTTCTATAGCATTTATAAGTGTTTCCCCATGTACCTGGCTGAAATGAAATAGGGTTTAACGTCCTAACTGTTCTGCTCCGACGGAAAGGTGCCATACAGTATGTTATGGGGGAAACTTTGCCCGGACAGAGGCCCTACAGTCTACTTTTATATTGAATTCCAACTGCCAAGCTTTCTTTTACGTGCACGCCAATGTGTACACGGGACACATCGGTTTATCGTCCCATCCGAACGACTATACGTTGTCCCTTGCCAGGCCAACGCAGGGATCGAACACGGGACGTCCAGGTTAGCGAGCCAACTCACTGAGCCACCGTGGGCCCCTCTTCACTTATATAGAGAGCCATCTTTCACACACGTGTTCAGGCGCGCTTTCCAATAAGTATAGAAAAATATGAATATGTATAAAATCATTAAAAAAATATATAAATATCTATAAAAACAGTAAAAAATAATAAATATCTATAAAATCATATAAAATCAGTAAAAAATAAATACATATCTATAAAATATATAAAAAAAAGTAAATAAGTTTCTTTAAAATCAGTAAAAACGAAATAAATATCTATAAAATATATAAAAAGTAAATAAAATTAGTAAAAAAACACCTAAATAAATATCTATAAAATCAGTAAAAAAAACAAAAAAAACCTAAAAAGTATCTGAAAAAATTAGTAAAAAAAACAATAAATATCTATAAAACCAGTTTTAAAAAACATATATATTTCCTACTGGCAAAGGTTGCTTTACGCGTACGCCAATGTGTACATGGGTGTACATCGGTTTCACGCCCCATCCGAAAAACTATTCATACTTCCATTGACAGGTTACAGCCGGGATCGAATCCTAGTCTATAGCCCTTTTGCCCTGACCACCCTAATGTGTTTTTGGGGTAGTTTTTGTACTAAATATAACGAATTTATGATTCTAGATTGTATAATATATTTTTTAGAATTGAAAGTTGGTATTTAGATGTAGATGGAACTTTACCAGCAGATCTGAAAAGACGAGGGGTTAGTAAACATAGTTTGACTATCGACATTCATACCGGTCCTTGGTACTTAAAGGAGCTAAATCTCTCACTCTTTATTTTCCATATTATTCAAAAATAAAAACACGAATTAGAATTTAATATTGGTCCATTTCAACGTCCTCCCCGAAGTGAACTATTGAAATAAAGAGTTTGACCCGCGAGCGACAACAAATTATCGAAGGTTATTTCCTGGCGTCGAACAACAGTAACAGTTAGCCAGTTAGATTTTTAATCCGGGATAAAGAGGGTAACGTCCACTTGACACAAACTAGGTCATTTCGGGACTAACATATACAGTGTAGTTCAGTTTTATTTCAATAATTCGCTTGCGCGTGGGGGTCTTTAGCAGTAGGAAGAAACCGGGGGACCCGGCGAAAACCCCCGAGCTTGGACAGGCGACTCTACCCCTTGTCACGTACAACCGGGGAATCGAAACCGCACCAGTTGACACAATGACAGATCTAATGATACAGCGCACACGCTAACCATTCGGCCATCCAACCCCATAAAATATTACAGAAGACAATGCGAAAATAATTAGAAATGACTGATTCACAAACGACAAAAGATTAATAATAATTATGAATCATGAATTTCTTCTTTCATAGTTGGATGATCCATGTGTGTTGCCTGGTTACCATTTTCGAGACGACGCCATACTTTTATATCACGCTATACAGAAATATGCATCTAAATATGTTGCTTTATATTACGGTAAGTAACACGTCTAATTACGTTTCCATATATCATTGGGGGAGTAGTGGGGGGGGGGGGAGTCTAATGGATTCGTCTTGCATCGATCATAAGGTCTGGTAATGAGCCAAATAACCTATGCTAAATAAAATATTGCACCATATGTTAGGCCAAAAATGACATAGTTTGAGCCTTGTAGAGCCAATCAAATACAAAGACTTGGGAATATATTATTATAATTATTATTATAGATACACCAGAGAAAATAAATGGTGATTGGGAATTACAGAATTGGGGTAAAGAATTAGCTTTATCTAGAGAACAAGGTGGTGTAGGACTACTGGTAAGATTTATATCTTGTTTTATTATTTTAGTTTGACCACTTTTTAAGATGCCAGATGGAATTCGAAATAAGAATAAGCCTTACTGCCACTGTCTGGGAACAGTTTCCCTAATAGCACACTGTATGGCGCATGCCTGTCTTTATTATCCCAGTCAGTTCTTAAAAGTAGGACATTAAACCCTACTGCTGTTTATATATTTTAGGGTATGATTTACTATTGTTTATATATTACAGGGTATGATTTATTGTTTGTATATTACAGGGTATGATTTATTGTTTATAATTGTTAGTATATTACAGGATATGATTTATTGTTTATAATTGTTTGTATATTACAGGGTATGATTTATTGTTTATAATTGTTTGTATATTACAGGATATGATTTATTATTGTTTATATATTACAGGGAATACCAAATGACGGAACATTTAAAACAATAGATGATATAAGTAAAGTATTAACATGTATTGTATATACCTGTAGTGTTTCACATGCGTCAACTAATTTCCCTCAATATGAAGAATACGCCTTTACTCCAAATTATCCTGGTATGATGCGAGGAAAACCACCAAACTCAAAGGTACGGTGATTATATTGTTATATTATATTGTAATATTATATTCTAACTATATCCTAGTATGATGCGAGGACAGCCACCACACACGCTGGTATGTTAATCATTGTAATGTTATATTCTAACTATATCCTATTATGATTGGAGGACAACCACCACCACACACTGGTATGTTAATTATATTGTAATATTATATTCAAACTATGTATTATGCGAGGAAAACCACCATATACATTGCCAACAATTCTTTATATTTTCATAGAATTATATCCACTGTGTATCTCTACAAATTGTTGTATTCCAAAGAATTGTGCCCTGAGCATCGCCTTCAAATTGATGTATTTCATATAATTGTGTCCTGCGTATCACCTACAATTTGTTTTATATATTACGTACAAACTATTGCATTATTTAAAAACACATTTTTCAGATACTATCAATTTGTCTTTTCTAGGACCCCGTAGAAGAATGCCGGATCTTGGCCAGTCTACCGGATAAACTAACAACCCTAGATATTATGGTCGTTACTAAAATATTAAGTGGTCGAGGTACCAAAAGTCTCGGTGATTTTGAAGTTCAGTATGTTTTTGATCCGAAAGCCACGGGGATCGTTGATGAGTAAGTATTCTATAAATCGGAGCCTCACTGGCCCAGTAAGGCGCTGACTCGCAAACCATAACACCCGGATGGATGGCTTAGTGGGAAAGGAGCTGGCTCGCCAACCATTATGCCCGGGAGGCTTAGTGAGTAAGACGCTTGCTCGAAAATCACGAGGCCCGGGTGGCTCGGTGATTAAGGCGCTGGCTCGCAAACCATGAGGCCCCGGCTACGATCCTCGTGTTGTTCTTTTTGATTTCCTAACTTAGTTTCCCGTTGTCAATGGTACTGTACCTACCCTAAACAAGCCCCTATTTAACAACTGACGCCCTTCACAAATTTCCTAGGAAACACTTGCCTGCGATATCAGTCTGGGTGGAAGCGCACGTTAAGCCCGGCTGCAAAGCAATCCGAATCAAGTCTAAATCTGACACTGCAGTGGGCCCTACTAGCAATATCCAAGATTCCAGATCGGTGTTCAATCTAATAATGACAAGTTTATATATTTTCTTTTTACATATAAGTGTAGCAACCGTTTTCATTAACCCGGTTGGTGTACAACGTTAAACCCCATTTTATTTCATTTCTTTTCTTAATTGTAATATAATGGTGTATTTTTTTTTTTTTTTTTTTTTACAGATTTCGTTTGGAATTACGACAAATCAGTAAAACGATCAAGGAAAGAAACCAATCCAGAAACCCACCATATATTTATCTTGATCCAGAGATCGTCCCGAATTCTATTAGCATTTAAAACTTATCATCTTCACAAACCATTATTAAATATAATCATCTTCATTAACCAGCATCATTCTAATTAATTTATTTACGAACTACATGTATATTCATTTATAATTCATCTGCTCTAACCGTTGTTCGCCATTTTAATTTTTCGGACATCTGTTTTTGTTGTTCTTTGGTGTTTAAAGTCCGCGTCCACCGAGGGTGATATTGCAGACAAGTTGTCTTATTTTTACTTTTATTGTCTTAGTGCAGGGGTCTTTCTTGTGGGAATAAACCGGAGTACTAGGAGTAAACCCACGAGGTTGAAAAGACGCCCCTAGCTCCATGCCACATACGCTCACATCAGGGATCGAAAACACGACCGTAACCCAAAGTTGACCTGCCAGCTAGAGCTCGAAGCGCGACACTCTGGACCAGTAGGTCACCCCAGCCCCCGGGACAATATCTCATTTTCTACGGCTTATAATTCAGGCTAAAATTTACCCGAATTGATTATTTAACATTTAAAGGAAGCAAGTCTTTAATTCAAATAAATAATTTATATATCATCCACAGTCTTCGACATTGCAAACAAGACTTATTGGTCAATTTAAATCAACATTGATGTTATTATCTTACCGTGAAGAGATGGTTAAGACAAAAATGATAATTTTATAATTGGCACGCGAATCTCGTGCCAAATTGCTTTCGGGTGCAATTTGTAAAGAAGCGACACGATGAACGAGGCTAAACATACTACCGGTGTAGACTGGAATAACCAAACGCCAAAGACTGCCATTCAAATTGGACTTTTCGTGTATTTCGCCGAACATAATTACAGTAAAACAGAAACGACTGAATGTAACTCAGTTTATATACATTCATATTACATTATTATATGCTTTGCGATCCATTTGTGACAATTTTTGTCAATTTCTAGTTGTCAAAAAATAGAGATTTAGCTCCTTTAATTAAGAAATTAAAATCAAAATATCAACGATAGGGTTACAAGAGGCACATTAATAGAATTTAGTAAAGATTATACGTGGCGCTGGCTTGTTTGACCATATCCTATATCGTCAGCAGAGGATGTCGAATATTCATAAATTTTAAATTCATCATATCTTTGTAAATACTGAATGGAATTGAGCCATTTTGACACTGTGATTACGGTCTACTCCTATTTCGAATTCGAACTGTCAAGGGTTTTGTTACGAGCACGCCGGTGTGTAAACGGGACCTCGATTTTTCATTGCATCCGAACGGCTAAGCACTGTACTTGTCAGAACTTTCTCGGCCAACACCTGGTTAACGAGTCAGCGTCTTAACCACTGAGCCACCGCGGCTCTATGCCTCAAATGATGATCGGAGCAAGGGATTAAACAAATTCCTCAAATAATTATCAGTGGCTTCTATTTATTAAATGAAAGGAATGGGGTTTAACGTCCTACTGCTACGACTGGGCTAATGAAGACGGGCATACGCCATACAATGTACAATGAGATACATTTTGCCCCAACAGCTGCACAGCGGCCTACTCTTATATCGAATTCCAATTGCCTAGGAAAATTTTACGTGCATGCCATTGTGTACACGGGGCTTCGGGTATTCGTCCCATCCGAACGACTAGACAGCTGTCCTTGTCAGGTCCTCCGTCCTGCACCATCGATAAAGGGAAACCACTCAGAAATTAGTTCCTAGAATTTTGTGCTGTATATTATTTTCTATCATATATTTTGTATTGTATATATTTTGTGTCATATATTTTTTAGTGATCGATCACACATTTTTGTGATTAAATTCAATAGGTATATAATGATTTTTAAATAAAATGGTGATTTCCTTTGGATTCACCCACCTCGCGTAAAACATGCACGGTATTAATTTGTTTTCTTTAATAAGGCAACCCCGCCAAGCACAATGTGCACTGTATTATTTGCTGGAAAAATCTATTAGGTAAGTGCATTAACCCCTTCTTATTCCGATGTACGACTGTCAGGGGATATTTAACGTGCTATGAAGTCAAGTGTATAAATTGGGATAAATTGGAAAAGGGGTTCAATGCCTTTACTTTTTTTAATCAAAGGGTTAACAAGGATGGACATTCACCACGCATTGTGCTATGGGGGAAGGTGCATTTTTTTTGCCATGGCAGCGGCGTTTCCGTCTAGTCTTCATCGAATTCTAGCAATCAAGGGTTCCTTTACGCGCACACAAACGGCTTCGCGAGGCCTTGTCAGTCCCCCCCCCCCCCGCTTCCTGCATGGAAGAGTTTGATATATATAGTCAAAGATACAGGAGTTTGCGGACCGATCTCTCTCAATATCATTTCGATATTAAACATGAATACTTGAAACATACCATTGATAATAGATGGCAAACTACTTCACAACTTATCAACTCAGCGTTAAGATGGTGGTTGCGTTCGCATTCTGCGCAAGTACAAGTTCGTCTGGTAATTTTTGTTGACCTTTTGATCAAGAAACAAAAAAAGAGTGTTAAAATTCTGGCAGGATTTGGAGAATAGTCGTTACTATTTTCTGGCTTAAAGATCAGAAAGGAAACGGAAATGAATTAGGAAAATGACGTCTCAACAGATTTCACTGACCGGGCGCAGCACAAAATCGAGACGGCCAACGCCCTTCAATAGTATTATCGGATGATTGTGACCAGTGCCGCGGTTACTATTGGGCTTAAGCACAGGGGCCCCGTGGGCCCAGGTGGGGCAAGGGGCGTCTTCCCTGATAATTCAAAGATTTGCCTAAAACTTAAAAATAATGAATTATCAGGTGGTATGTATTATGTTAACTACTCCTACATTTTCTGAGCGTATATGTCGGACTGCCTGTATAGGCATGTCGGGGCTACCTCCTTCAGTGCCATGTAAGGGGCCTCATAACTTTTAACTAGCACAGGTTCTCCTTATCCTAAATCCGTCATTGATTTTGACATGTTCTCCTGGTGTGTTTATACAAATTAACGTCATCAGATCGTTCTAAAAATTGTTATAGTCAAGAAACAGCATGGATTTAACATGGATAATTGTTAGTCTGACTCCATAACCATACGTAATTATCTCCCCTTAATCTCCCGTCGATTATATTGGTTGAATGGACCAAAATGAAATGAAATGCGGGTTTAACGTCCTACTATTCTGCACTGACTGGGCTAATAAGGACGGGCATACGGCCTACTCTTACTTTGAATTCAACTGTCAAGGGAACTTTTACGTGCACGCCAGTGTGTGCATGGGACCTTGTAGATAGCTAGGGGCCTTGATTATTTGTTCAATCCAAACAACTATACATTTTTCCTTGCCAGACCCTACAAGCCTCCATCCTGCACCACAGACAAAAAGGTACAACACCGGAAAATCCGGATGAACTATCTCACTAACACAAGGGTCGAACACTGGACCCCCAGGTAAGCGAGCCAATGTCTTATTCACTGAGCCACCGCAGCTCACTCAATGGCCTAAAGTTCTGCTGTAATGATTACAGTAATGTAATGGGGAAGGATCGTGGTGGGTTTGGTTGAGGGAGATTTACCCCACCGGATCCAATCACCTGATCTGATAGGTGCGTTTGTTCATTGAGATGCCTGTGTATATTGTGTTATGTTTGTAGGTTTGTCTTGTGTATTTGTTTGTATGTGATCCCCCCCCCCCCCTCTGCACTTACATGAAAAATGGATATCCTGTATTAAAAGAAAATATAATTTATTATAGTAAATAATGTTTAATCATCTTGTGAGTATCTAAATAAAGGTAAACAAGTTTAATTCTAGAGTGAGAGGTAGAAAATCATATACTACTGTACTGAATATCTATTGTGTATAAAAAATATAATAATAATCACAATCATACAAAATCACAATTATATAACAATTTATAACAATTTATATCAAAATTTTACAACAGCTTGAAATATTTCTGTATACAAAATCTACATACTAACCAGCAGAAACATACAAATAATTTTCTAAATCTCAATTTCTAATATTTATAACTATTTACTTTCTCTGAGTATAGTTTAGAAACTAATTACTCAGTTAATTATAATCTTTGAATGGCATTTAGCGATTGAACATAATATAACACAACACATTTCTATGGATAACAATCACTATATTATATACACACGTTTCAACAAGAATTCACTGGTCGAAACATTGTGTGTATATAATATAGTGATTGTTATCCATAGAACTGTGTTGTGTTATACTCAGTTAATTACGCACCACAGCTCAGAGAAATTAAAAATATTTTTCGATGATTGTCTAAGTATTTTAACAGTGTGCCAA